AATATATATATATTATTGTTTATATATATATATATATATATATATATATATATAAAACATAATTGTAATCTATTCTTATACAATGCAAGTCCCAATATTTCTTATGTAGATTTCTTATAAATATTTTATATCTCTTATAATATATTATTAAAATTAAAAATTGTTTCATTACACTAATTAACCATATAAATTTTTATAATTAATTTAAATAAAATTAAATTATATATAATCATACAATACAAAATATATTTTTTTAAAAATAATTAAAAAAATTTATAATAAAACTTATAAAAAATATTATACTAGTTTTTTATTATATTAAAGTATTGAAAAAAATGTAATATGTATAAAATACGAGTTTCGGTCAATAAACATACATTTCGACGCCTTCATAAATTTTTTCGTAAAAAAGAACTCCATGTGGCACGCAAGATCAACATTTTACTCGCGAATTCAATATTACATAAAAATGAACTCAACAAGATATTAATATTCAGTTAAATAAAAAAAATTCATTCCTTTACGGAAAGTGAAACACTTAACAGCATGTATAAAACCGAATGTTTTAGGTTACCTTGAAACGCGCCGGCTTAACCTGCGCAGTGCGTATGTTCAGCAGAGTAATAAAAGTATTTGGAAAATGTAAAATATCTTAAGAATATAATGCCGGTATTATGTTAAAGAAAAAATACATATAAACTTTCTATACTTCAATACGAAGAAACAGTAAAACGATCGCACAGAACACACCATGTATCGAAAACGAAATTACTAGCTGGGGCAAATGTTTTTGGAACAGTTAATAGAACGCCTGGCTTTGGTTAGTGGGTCGACATTTTCAGCCCATTTTCGGCAGCAATTGTAAACCAATCATGGTGCATTTGCACATTTAATGACCGATTAACTGTTTAATAACTCATAAATTCCAATTTTCAAAAATTCAAAATATATGAAAATTACCAATATACAAACAACTATACGAAAACAGAAAATATGTTCGATCAGAGTCGATTTAGTACCCGGTGCTTTTATATGGCGGAACGGAAAAATGCTGAACCAGCGAAGTTCCATAAGAAAGTAGAGAAACCGACACGTGGCGCCCTCCTCAGACGCCGTCACTACACAATACTTAACCAAGATTATCAAAAATAAATCAAACTTTTTTAAAAAATATTTTGATGATATGATATTTTTGACAATAGAGACAATTTAATATTACTATTTTTACATAATAGCATATTCGTTGATGAACTACAATTCAAATAGTTTCTTCATTCAAATATAAAAAACTCTAACTTTATATTAAAAAAATTACAATGATTACTTCTAATATCATATACTTTAAAGTTAATTATTACATTGTATTCAAAATCATTTCAAATAACAATTTTTAAATCTTTTGTTTATTATTTATTATTCTGTAAATTATATCAATAATTTTTCTCATTTAATTTTTGTTATAACCATCCATAATATGACAAAGATTTCGTTCGTTACAAGTACTCGTAAAGATTTCGTCACAAAATGTATAATATGTATTTAGTAGGACCATCGAAGCAAGGAACATTCCATGTGGTAAGGTTAATATAAGATAAATGATATATTAAGAATGTTGATCTATTGGTCAATATACACAAGCAATCGGAAACAGTCCGTAGAGAAGGCTACAAAATGAGATCGCTGCTGGTCTCAGCGAAAGCGAGGATGCGATACTAACGTAGAGTGCAAACCCAAGCACTTTGACTTGGGCACATGTTGTGCCAACTCAGCGAAAATGCAAGCTCATATCATCAAAAGGAGGAGAGGCAAGGAAGCGAGATTAAGCCCTTGTTCGACAGCTGGCAACGTATATCATACGTAATACACGTACGAGAATAGCAGAGAGAGCAATGTGTAAAGGAAGTACATTTAGAAAGAACTCTACATTTATTATAATGTTTCATGTATGTAAATATAATATAAATATATATATGTATGTAATATAAATATAATATGTTTAATGTATTATAGTCATTATATCATTTATATTTATAATAAATATAATATTTTATATCTATATTTTTGAATAAATAAACAAATATTTAAATAATAAAATTTACTATTCATACTTTTTTCCAAATTATTTATCAACTTATAAAATTATATTTTGTTTGAAATTTCATTAATATTTTTTTAAATGTATAAAGTTAAACTATATATATAATTAATGTTTACAAACTATAAAGTTAATTCGTAAATATTTTTTTAAATCAGTAAAAGCTTTCTAGAAGTTATCAAAAGATGTTGAAAGAGTTAAAAATTTATCGAGCTTTTAGAACGAACGTTTCGACTAAGCGGTCGAATTCAACCCTTTAGCTTAATCTCAGTGTGCAACAGAGTTTTTCGAGTTACAGATACAACGATGGAGGGTGGCGGAAGAAGACGAGGAGAGGAGAGGGAAAGCAGAGCAAGGGTGGGGCGACGAAGCTGCCGATGGGATGGGGAGCTATGAGGGCGAAGTTATCCAATTATTGTCTAACCTGGGAGCAACTTTACTTGGCGGAGAACCGTTGGTGGGAGGAAAGCTCGTCCTGCCAGCTCTCTCCCTTCCTACAATCGAGCCACGATAAAGTAAAGTTTGTTTCAAAACTTGCCGCGCGGAGAGGTGACTAGGTTTTTGTTAGTGACACGTGAAATTCAAACGACTTCATTGCGATAATAATCGCGCAAGTTTTTAATATCGATCAATGAAAAGAAGAAAATTCAGATTCAAATCAGGATTCCATAAATTAACTCAAAAGTTCATTAATAATGATTGTAACAAAACTTTTTCAATGTGAATGTTTAAAAAAATAACGTGTTATATTGCCTGATATATGATTAGATACAAGAGAAATAACTGTCAAGTAATTAAAAATTATATTATTCTCGACATATAAATTTAATTATATTAAAAGTTGCACATTTATTAATTTTTTATTAATCTTTAATATTTTAGTAGATTAATGTAATAAATATTTGTTATAATAAATACTATTATCGATAAAGAATTAATTAGAATCAAATCACTTTAATACAACAAAATCTTTATTATTTAAAATATTTTATTCGGGATGTTCACTGATAATAAGTTAGAAATAAATAAGCTTATTAGGAAAGTGCACTAGCGATAACATTCATATTATAATGACATATATAGCAACGTGAAAACCTTTTTAAAGCGATGTATTGTTAGCATCAACAGATACTTATTCTAGGTCAATTTTAAATATGGATCATGCCATTATTTTAATTAAAAAACTTGAAAGTATATTTCAATTATTTTTATATTTTTGAATTTATTCAGTATATTAAATATAATCATTCAAACATAAATTTATTTATTTATAAGTAAAATCATGATATATTTTATTTAAATAACTTAACATATAATATATCGAAAAATTAGTATTAAATTTGTATTAAAATTTTATTTTATTAAAAAAAATCTAGTTATATTCTTAAAGTACTTTTAATTGCACAAAATAAAAATAAATTTTCACATTATAAAAAAAAAATCTTGTATGAAACATTGACAAATAAGATCGAAACAAGAAATATATCCAAAAAAAAAATTAAATATTAAAAAAAAAAATTCATAAAATTATAAAGATAAAAAATGTCATAGTATTGTTAGAATATCTGCAAGTCCTCAAACAATGGACATAAAAAAAAATCTATAATAAATATATACTTAAATAAATATCTTTATTTATTAGAAATAGTATTTAAAAGAAATGAGAAATAAAGGACGAAAAACTGAAAATGTAAAAAAAACAAACAAAAATAAAAAATAAAATAAAACAAAACAAATAAAAAAAAAATCTGTCAAGTACTAAAATGAAGAAAGAAGCAGAAGAAACTTGTCCAATTATAATGACGAGTATCAGTGTCGGCGTTCGGGCATTCTCATCCTTGGGTACAACGGAATGATCGGAAAGGGGAGAGAGGGGCTGTTGCTCTGGTACCTTCCGCCTCCGCGTTCGTCTTTCCAGCGGGTAACGAGCGACGGCCATGAGTGAAGCAAGGAAGGAGGGAGAAAAGAGAGTAGGAGAAGAGGAGAGGCGACTACTTAAAGTTGGCGGAAAGTTTGGTTCGGCAGCAAAGTTAACTCAGTTAAGTTCCCCGCTCCTAAAGCGAAACTTCGGTTCTCCAACGCCTGCCCTGCCAGCCTGCCTCTGCCTGCTTACTTTCCGTCCTCTCTTCTTCCTTCATTTCATACCTTGCTTTCCAAGTATCTATCCTCTCTTCCTTCTATATCCATTCCTCTAGTGCTGCACGAATAAGCAATGTGTTTTGGAATTATCACTTTTCTGTAAACTTTCGCCACGATGTTTCGCCGTGGCGATCGATTGGCATCGACCCGACCGGTGTCACTCTCGTTTGCTTGCCGTGCTACTTTCCGTACACCAGTCGTATCAATTTGTGGTCTAACCAGACCCAAAGCGAAACATTTTGTAACCAGAATGAAAAGTTTTAAAGTATTATATGCGGATAAGTAAAGGAAAATATATTTTTTTTAATTTGAGCGAATTAAATCGAAAAAAATTTCGGAATTTTATGTGTTTATGTTCAAGAAGATCTTCTTTTAAGATCTCTTAAGAACATTTGTATAAATTCTTAAATTTTATTGAACATAATTATAAAGTTTGAAATATCAAATAATGATACGATAAGAAAATTTTATGTAACAATAAAAATATAATTTAATGAATAAAAAAATAAAATTTTATGAATAAATAATTAAAATTTAATTTTTTTCATTTAAATAAGAAGCTATTATTTTTGTGGTATAAAATTATTATTATATAATATATTATGTAGTTTAAAAATTAATAGTAAAAATATTAAAAAATTTTGATAAATAATACGAATAATTTTTTTAGACAAATATTCCAAGAAAAAATACTGCACGAAAGTTCAGCAGAGATCGCTAATATATTGATTTACAATGTTTTTTAATTATTTATAAATTTTAAAAATATAATAAAAAATTATATTACTTATAAAATGATAAAAAGTAAAAGTGACTTAGAAACAGCTAGGTGAAGTCTGTAAACTTGGACAAGATGTTTCAGGAAGAAAGATGTTTCTCCCACTTTCCAGAGAACTGTTCCCTTTCCCGTTCTATGTAGCAGGCAACGATCGAAATTCCAAGACGAAGTTTGCGAGATTCCAAGGAAAGCGTGAGTTTCGCTCGTGTTCATCGTTACCCTTCTTCGAACGTGTACATGTATAGAAGCTTGTAAGCATCGTTTTGTAACAGACACCAGTCAGCATGGTCGAGTACTGTCCCTCCTTTGATGGTACGCCAGAGCAAAAAAAGAACCGGTCGAGTCGGTACTTACGAAGAGGTTTAGCTTTCAGAGTTCGCGTATGTAGTTCGAAAAGAAGTTACAACCGTTCTCCCAGTCAAAGAACTTTGTTGTATGGTTTTCTTTGAATCAAAATTCAAATATAATGAAAAACAAGTTTTGTACTTAACTAATTCAATTGAAATTATAAATGGCTTTGTTGATTGTGAAAATTTCTTTTTGGGATCTCTTATAGCATTATTATTGGAAATTTTACAAATTAAACGTTACTAATAATAACAAACATAACTTGCATAATAATAATTATAGTGATAAATTGAATAAAATTATACAAGAGAATTTTATAAATTGTGTTGTATAAAAACTATGCATATACAATAAAAAGTTTATAACTTATAATTTACTAATGTTATTAATTAAAAAGTTTTTATTTTTTATTTAATCCTAGAAAGTTATTAATTCTGGAAAATTATTGAAAAAATTATTAAGTATTACATTGATATAAGTATTACATTTTTTTTTAATTGCTTTAATATTAATTTATTTATATGATAATATAAATTTCGATAAACAAATGACTAGGTGTTTTAATCTTTGAGTAAATAGATAATACATTTGAAAATTGTAAAATTTACAGAATGATTCATTAAATACAAGATAATACTTCGTATCTACGTTAAAGAAAATATATACAATATGTTTATATGTATATAATAAATTGTGAAAAATTTTCGAAATGAATTTTTTGTTTCAATACACATTAAATTAATTAATTTTTTATTATAAATTATTTAAATTCTTATTATAATAATTTATGTTAATATTAATAAATAAATTACTGAAAATATAAAAAAGAGAGCATTTTAATTATGTTTAATATCTTTTTTTTTTAATAAACATAATAAGTAATAACTGTTTCTTTCAATTAGTCATAACTTATTATCCATATATGTTTGCGCAACATTTCTTACATTATTTACTTATGTAAATTCATTCAATGAAGTATTACTATACATCTATGAATCACTTCATAGATTTGCTTTATGATAATAAAGAAAACTAGCACGTTAAAATTTTTTTTTTCGTACAATTTTAAAACTCAATTAACTCGTTTAATTAATTCTTTTCGTAATGTGTTAAAATAATCCTATTATTTATTGAGATAAAATTATAAAAATGATCAAAAATTTATTAAATTTAACAAGTTATATTGATGTATTGATCTTGAGATCATTTCTGAAAATATTTGGAATAAATATATGAAATAATGTTAAGCGCATTCGAAATATGAATATTCCCTTCTCTCTACATTTAACAAATATAGAAATATGTATTAATATATCAATATTTCATACCAATCAAATCGGCTCCTTCAGTGACTCATCTAAATTTGCGATTAGTATTCAAATATGCGCGAGTAATAATTAACTTTATGCGATTCAATTTGAAAAACATTTGACTTGCTATGTTCAATATCGTTGTTGGACATTTACTTTGGCAAACTATTTCTCGACAAAAGTTACGAATCCATTCAAGCGCCGCGATTTGTGTTCGCGCGAACAACGGTGGTAACAGAAAAATTCAACGTTAAAGATTTCCAAGTTAGTGGAAACTTTTAATTAGCCACTGACAAAAGGCGTCGCCAGTTACGTTCGTTGAACAAAAGCGATAATAGGAGCAACGACGGTAAACTGACGGTACAATCGTTCGCCGCTTCAAACTTTCAACCAGTAATAACCTACAGAGCGTGCAGCAAAGTGTATATGGGGGAAAGTACAAGAGCACGGACGGACTCGAGCCCCTCCACATATTCGTTGCATTCATATTTGAAACCTTGAAGACAGAGAGAGGCCGACAGGTGGCGAATGGAACGAGTCGAACACACGGAATGCTTCTCAAAACCGTTTAACATCCCTTTAAGTGTCTTCATGCTGGCCGACGAGTGACGTTAAATCAGATCTGACTGTGCGCACACGGTTGCAGTCTGTTCAAGCATTACGATGCAAAGAATTGTTACGGCATCTCTTGTACGAGAGATCATTCATTCGCATAACTCTGCTTCGGGTTAAGAAGAATTCGATCGAGAAGCATACATAAAAAGAACAATGCCAATGCGGCTCAAGACATGTGCCAGCTCGTCCCTTTCTATTCATGAGTAGGGAACGCGATGAATATACCCTTGTTGAGTTTCAAAGTTACATACACTCCGTCGACTTCCCCTCCCCCTCTTTACAGTTCTCTATATCCTCTTCCGCTCTGAATCAGAATTTTCCACATAAACCGCGACAACTTTTCTTATTGTTTCCGCACCCATTCTGGACGCGCTTCACGGAATAAATCACTTCTAAAGAAACAAAGAAAGTCGCTCGTAATACTTTTCATATATTACTACTACTTTTATACTTCAAGAGATATAAGATGAAAAAAAAGATGTAAAATAGGTTAAATAGTAATTATTCTGGAAACATTGAAACACAATCATTACTTGTACTATTGGCAAATTTCCCAAACAAACCAATTCGAATTGAAAATCTTGTTACTCTAA